ACATATGTTCATACCAATGTTTTGATAAACTTCAAACTTATGTGTATAACCACTACTAAAGAGTTTTCAAATATACTATCTCAGAAAAATTGCCTGTAGGTATGCACTAAATTGTATCCCCCAAAGAGAACGTGCAGTCCTAATCTCTAGTTCCTATGAATGTGACCCTATTTGGAAATAGGGTCTTTGCAAATGATCAAATTAAGATGAAATTATTAGGGTGGGCCTTAATCCAATATTACTGGTGTCCTTATAAACAGGGAAATTTGGACACAAAGACAAACATGCACACAAAAAGGACACCAAGTAAATATGAAGACAAGAGATCAGTATGGTACATCTTCAAGCCAAGAAACAAGAAAGAGGGCTGGGGTTGTAGCTCAGGGGTAGAGAACTTGTCTCACATATGTGAGGCCCTGGGTTCAATCCACAGCACCACATAAAAATAAATGAGCAAATAAAATAAAGATTTAAAAAAAAAAAAAAAGAAACAGGAAAGACTTCCAGCAAATATTCATAAGAAGAAAGGCATGGAATAGATCCTACCCTACAGCCCTCAAAAGGAAGCAACCAGATGACACCTTAATATTGGACTTCCATTTCCCAGAACTTGACAACAAACCATTCTGTTTTTTTAAGCCACCCAGTTTTGTGGTACTTTGTTATAGCAGCCCAAGCAAAATAATATACCTACTAAGGGAAACCATGATTTTTACCCCTTGAGAGTCACTAAAAGCAAAAATATTCTAAAGGTTACAAATCATAAATTTAAAATTTTCTTGCTATTTATTTTTCTATCTGGTAGCAAATACACTTTTTAATAGCCAAGTCAACCTAATGCCAAAATAAATTTATGTTTTAAACATAAGTCTTTCTTCATTCAATGTAGCAGAATTGGAACAGATATCATCATTTAAATTAACATTGGAGAATGTAAACATCCTATTGACTGGTATATAATAATACCAGGAGGGCTGGGATTGTGGCTCAGTAGTAGAGCATATGCCTAGCACTCATGAGTTACTGGGTTCAATCCTTACCACCACACAAAAATGAAAAATAAATAAAATAAAGCTATTTTAAAAAGAGTTTAGTTTGAAAAACGAATACCAGGAGGTTATTAATTTTTCCTTTTTGTTTCTTAACAGAGTTGCTTCATGTGTCTTATATACCTGTAAGAATATAATTTGAACCATAATCAAAAGATAGCATAATGAATTACTTGACAAGAAACAATGGCATTGGCATATAACAGGAAAGGGCTATAGAGTAACACTTATTTCAATGAAATCCTTGATCTGTCATTTACTAACTATATGACTCTAGCAAATTAAACATGTTTAAGCCTTAAACTCTTTATCAGTAAAATAGGAATTTTACATTTTACATGAATGGATTAAATTAAATAATATATGAAATTTACTTAGCATATAATGATGATAATAGAATTTTGCTGTTTACAGAACAGAAAAATTTGTAACTTAAGGGGTTTTATATACTTCTCTTGGATAGGAAAAATAATTAGGCAAGGTTATGTAAGAGCAAAAGTCTTGAACATACATACTACATAAAAAAATATTGCCTTCAGCTAATTCCTTATTATAAAATTCAGGACTTTTCAAATTTTAAAATTATTTGTCACAACTTGCTGTGGTTTGAAACTGGAATGTCCTTCAAAAAGCTCATGTGCTTAAATCTTTGTCCCCGGTGCAGAAGGTTCAGATTTGGGGCTTCCTGAGCTAAGCAGCCTTCCTCCACTATGTCTTTCTGCCATGATGTTTTTCTACTTTGGAGCCAGCCAATCATGGACTGAAAGCTTTAAAACCATGAGCCAAAATAAACTTTTCCTCCTCTAGGTTATTCCTAGTTATTTTGGTCACAGCAACACAAAGCTGACCAACATACAACTCAAAACACATTTGAACTTAATTTCTGAACTGCAATACAAATAGGATCTTGGTGATTTGGGGCTCTGTCATTAGACATCAGTTGGCTTTCAAAGTTCCACAATATCACTCTCTTCTTCCCTCTGATCACTAAGCATTAACCAGTTCAAAAAACTACCCGGATAACCCTAGTAGTATGGTTAAATCCACTGTAACCATCTTCCAAGTATCACTAAATGTGTGTGCCTCTTCATAAATATAAATCTTTTAAAATATATATCTCCAAAATTAACTAGAACTAGGGGAATAGCTCAATGGTACAGTACACAAGTCCCAGGTTTCTATCCCTTGCTCTGCAGATAACAACAACAACTTGAAAAAGAGCTTATTTTGGAATTCAAATACTTATTTTGAGAAATATGTAAGTAATGCAAAACCCAATATATCACTAAAATCCAAAGGACCTGGTACCTCATGCAAACACTCTACACCACATACAAATTTTACTTCTACTGCTAATTATCATACATATAAACTGAAACTTATATCTATATCTTCATATTTTAAAACAGAAGAGGTTATTGCACAATTAATCCCAGAAAGACCGCAATTATTATAGAGAAAAAATGGTAATTTTGTCAACCTTTTCATCCAAAACAGTTATCTGCATTGGTCAAATTTTTCAGAAAATGAATATCAGCAACCCACTTCTTGTGAGACAGCTAAATGGTAATTATTCTTAGCATCATTTAATAAATCATTGGTGAGTTATAAGAATATGTTCAATGCTATAATAAATTCAATAGCAGCATCCAAGCTAATATGTGATCAAGATCAAATATAGGGGTTTTGAAAAATCTTTATAAAAACATGTTTTACCTTTATATTTAGTGTGGTTGTAACTTGAACTCAGCTAGGCTTTGTTAGTTGAGTTTTAGAAAAAGGAACTAGGTGTGATGGTACAGGCCTATAATCCCAGCTACTTGGGAAGCTAAGGCAGGAAGATCAAAAGGCAGAGGCCAGCCTCGGCAAACTAGTGAAACCCTGTCTCAAGATAAAAAATTAAATAAAAAGGGCTGAAGATGTAGTGGTAGAGCACCCCTGGATTTAATCCTTACTACGAAAAAAGAAAAAGAAGAAAAATGAACTTGCTTCTTAGTAAATTAAGTAAAATAAATGCCTCTTTTCAGAGAATACTGTTATGTAACAATTTTTTGTTTGCTGAATAAATAAAATAAAAGATCCATTTACAACTAAAAAATATTTTTTTAAAAAAGAAGGCACAGTTAAAAATAAATTAACATGTTTAATTTAAACAAAATAGAGTATTGAGAAAAAAATCTAAGATCTTATTTTAAAGAATTGATCGAAAATTTTAAAATGCCATACTCTATTTATTCAAGATCAATATTAAGAACACTTTAATTTTGGCAACCCCAAACCATAATTCCAAGATTTCTTTCAAAAGGTGAATAGCAAGAGAAAGTAAAATATATTTTCTTTTTTTTAAAAGTCCCACTATCATAATATTAATATAAAATCACATGAGGTATTATATTAAGAAAATATAACCTGTTACATTTTTGGTAAAAGATCATATCAATTATTATCTTCCTGAGGGCAAGGACTATATCTTTAACTATGCCATATGCCTGAAGTATGGAAAAAACTCAATAAGTATGTGTTGACTATATCTTAAAAACACTAGACAAAATTTACATAATATTCCTACGAATAAAATACTGGGAAAATCCTAAATATCTGAGAATTCAAGATAGGACACAAAGAAATTTTTACAACATGCAAATCTATAGTTGGCTGAAAAAAATTCCACCCTTTTTTGCCCACAGACAACTCTGAAATTAAGCTACAAATTGTGTACTGGCTATGTCAATGGAAAATATACAGCCAATGCTGCTAGCTTTGAAATAATTTCAACTTGTACTAAAATGAAGACACTGAGAACAGTACTATATTTAAGCTGCTATATGAAAAAAAGTCCATATTATTCAGTTTTATCTACCTAGTAGAGTAGAATAATATGAGGTAATTAAACCAGTATAGAAAATTATTTACATTACAGATGTTCTCCATAAATTACAATTAGACTTAAAACAGTCTTTTAAAATATTCTCATACATGTGCTTCTCCAAAAAGAAAGCCTTCTTAGACAGAAATTAAATAAATCATATTTTGTAAGGATGACTAAAATAATACCTAAATAAAAGGGGTACTGAATACTTGTATCTGAATACAGATCTCTCCTTACGCTAATATGATGGTGAAATTTTCCTACTAGAAGATGCTAAACCCATAAGATAATTTGACCTAAAATAGTCAAAGACAAATGTGCTATCTGGTTTACTTATTAAATACAACTATCTTGGGAATATTTATAGCATTGACAAAATTGCTATTAGTAGCTTCATCCACCCTAAAGAATATGATTACTGGTATTATAAGTTTCCAGTATGTATTTACAGAAGAAAGCAAATAATTTCCTCAACCAACTATTTGATTTTGAAGCAACAAATTTTGGGAAAAAATGATATTACACTAGGATATATAACTCCAACCTCCAGTTTTACAACTATTTTTTTCATAGATGCATGGCACTATGTAAATGTTGATTCAAGCTTAATCATCTCAACTAAGAATGAATTAAATTTGTTAGAATAAAAACCTGAAAAAGAAAGCACATGCATATAATTCTAAGTTTTAGAATGGGTTTTTTCTCCAAAGGGATTTTTAAAATGTGTTTCCACATTATTCTACTTGTGCTATTTTCACTTTAGGACTGGCAAGTTGGTCACGAAACAGAAACAAGAAACAAACTCATTTTCACATAAAAAGCCATTTGTGATGTGAACATAGCATAAACTACACCAAGGAGGAGAAAATAATTCCTTAAAGTCCTGACTGCAAAATATATTGAAAATAGGTACATGTACATAAAAAGAGACAATTATGTTTGTGCCTGTCTCTATTTTCCTGCTCTGATTAGATTGAAGAGGGCAAAAAATTAACTGTAAGGTAAAGAGCTTAGTGAATGTCTCATTATATCCAAACTATCACTGTTTCCAGGAAAGTCCAAAAAATATAGAAGGGACTCACAGGCTCTAGAAGACACACTGTCTTATCGATGTATGAGGAGCTTCCAGGCTGATGTGGCTTCACTGTTTTTCCCTATAAGAAAAAAAAAAAAAGTCAGAGGGAAAGTGTCTCTCTCTCTCTCTCTCTCTCTCTCTCTCTCTCTCTCTCTCCCTTTCTTCTCTTGCTCTTCTTCCTAACCTCTCTCTCTCTCCCTCTCCTTTCACTTAAGAACAACCCCCAAAAATGACAGGCAAAGTGAAGAGAGGATGCCTGAATTGATGTCAGGAGAACTGGGTTTTATTCCCTGCTCCCTGACTTACTATATGGTCTTTTGACATTATTTAAACTCTCTAGACCTCTCTTTCAGATTATTTTCATTTTTTCACACATGGAAAACAAGACATAATATAATATTTTTTTTAATGATGGTTAGAAAGACATCAGAGACCAGAAGGGGAAAACAAAGACAGTACAATATAAAACATGCCCAGTTACAGGTAATTAGACTAAAAGGGTTCTAACAACAGTTATAGCTCAAACATTTTAAAATTCTCTTATTTAAAGTAGAGGCCACTTAGGTCAAATTTTTAGATCATGTAAAAAAAAAGTACTTAAAAGGATAATTACCATCAAATTTAAGAAGCCATAGGGGAATATATTCCAAAAAGTATATTCAATGACACATTCAATTGCACTGGTACTACTGGTAATACTGTATTTCTCAAACTGGATTTATGATACATAAGTGCTTATATTTCTTTATTTATAATTACTTTTCATCTGAAATACTTTTAATCATTTTTAATATAACCACCAAAACATCTTTCACCAAAAACTAAAATAAATGAAAATATTCCTCTGGAATTTGAAAGGTCAATGGAAAGAGTTTTGTGTGGTTTCAAACATTTTCCTGCTAAACTTTAAAGGTAAATATGGGGGCTGAGAATATAACTCAGCAATAAAATATGTGCTTAGAATACGCAAGACCCTGGGTTCAATCCTCGCACCAAATATTTTAAAAGGTAACTATAACTATGTGCCCCAAATATAAGAAGGAAAGTGAAATATGCTGTAGCTATTTTCAATTTTCCAACTTAGTAAAATAAAAACTACACAAATGGCACAAAAAAATGACCTGTATGATTAGCAGCATGATATACCCATCCAAGAGCATTAAGAGAGATACCAAATAATTTGTATATTTAAGAAAAATATATTGAAGAGTGACATCTGAAAATCCTGTGTACAAACATGAATTTGGTTGGTTGATTTTATTGAGACAATAATAACTGTAATAACTTACCTAAAGTAAGCAAAGACCTTTCTCAACCCCTACATGGACCTTACATGTAAAAACAGTGTCTCTGGTATCTCTGAAATTTTCCAAAAAGGAAGTATAGGTCATTCAACAAAATATATTTACTGTATACTACCATAATAGCTATTTAATTGTTATCATTATGATGCAGATATATAATGGAAACAGATGTTCCTTTTTCCATTCAGCAAAGCACAGGAAAAGCACAAACTTGCTGATAATGCATGGACTACTACCATAGCACAATAGAGGCAAAAAAAAAAAGACATTAGCACATGACAATATTAGTTTTTACTACACAACTAATTGCATAAAAAGTATAACTTGAGATCATTAAATCAATATAATTTTCAGCACTACAGAAGGGAAACAAATAGATTTGTATAACCAGCCTATTTCACATCTGCAGTTGGGAAAATACTTCTAAAAGATTAAGTACATGCAAAATTCTACCACTGCTTTCAGAACACAAGGAAAAGACTGTTGTTCTGTTTTCTTTGCTTGGGTAACATAAATTAGAAGGCATCTTCTACAGAAAAAAATTAAGTATCAGTATAAATTGGTAGACTCTTTCTGAACAATAATTTGGCAATTTTTATAAAGAATCTTCAGAAACAGTCTATTCTGGGGCTGAGGCTGTAGCTCAGTGGTAAAGTGCTTGCTTGTATGTGTGAGACACTGGGTTCAATCCTCAGCACCACATAAAAATAAATAAATATAGTGTGTGTTCATCTACAACTAAATAATTTTTTTTAAATCTATTCGTTCAATCCAAGCAAATCCTTTTCTAGTAACACATTGTAAGGAAATAACCATAGGAATAGGAATGATCAAAGATTTAAAATGTTCTTCATCACAGCTTTATTTATACTAGTGAAAAATCAGAAATCTAATTTCTTCAAAAGTAGAGCAATGATTCATTAAAGTATATATTTTAAAACATTATACAGTTAGGGCTCGAGATATGGCTTAGTGGTAGAGTGCTTGCTAGTGTGCATGAGGTCCTGAGTTTGAGTCCCAGCACTGAAAAAAAAAAGGAAGGAAAGAAAGAAAACACTATACAGACTATATAAATTACTTTAATGATAATTAAAATAATATTATGTTAAATGCTCAGAGGAAAGATTTAGGAAAATACTCAAAATGTCATTTGTAATTTTTACAAATTTTCTATTAAGAGCAGATACTCTTTTTTAATTAGAAAAAGTTATTTTTTCAGACAATTATATTTCTATGCTTTGATACTCTTAGTCAATGTCCAAAGTTTCAAAAAATTCAAATAACATTATAAAAACATAAAAGTAAACTTACATAAATCTGTATTGACACGTTATTTGATCCTGAAATCTGGCATGGAAAGGAAAAACAGGTTTTTTTCCTTTGTCAAGCAGGATCCTTACAAATTGGGAAACATTTTTATGGACTAAACATTACAAATTCTTACTTATATCTATTGACATGTTTTATTATATGTTATTAATTCCAGAAATTTTTTAAATTAAAAATATTTCTAAAACAAATTGCTCTCCCCAGCATATCAATTAAAAAAAAGTTTGTCATAGCTTTCCTAGGACTCTTTCTGATTCTATTTTTACAAGAAGGAGCTGATTTGTCTTAGGCTATTACTGTCTATTACTTGTAGAAGTCTTGAGGAAAGGTGGGAAGCAGCAAATTCTGGCAATCTGCCTAAAGAGAAATCAATGAAACAAATTAATCCTTTGCTAGCTGCAATGACACAGTAATCCATCATTCAGGGCTGCTTTTATATACCAAATCAGAGAGCAGAGGAAAGAGCCCTAGGGGACATCACAGACAACAACCTACACCAACACTGGGAAAATACTGAAGAATCAGTTTATTTAAAGAGGATAGATTTCAGTTGATTGCCTATTTCGTCAAATAAAGATTTTTCTTCCACAGTGCAGTGAACCCAAGGGCCAATGACTATATCTTCAGAACTCAGTAGCATACATGTCAGCTGACACAAAGAGGGGATATTTTTAAATAATTAGCATCATTAATTAATACAGTAAAATATCTGAATAGAGTAATGTTACTTTTTCCATTTCACTTTCTGGTACTTTAAATGTTCCCTGTTTTCAGTAGCAACTAACTATAAATTTACCCACTAATATCTACAATATAACTAGACAGTTCCTGGCAAACCACAATTCAGGTATTTCTTCATCTACAAAATATAACACTTGAGATATTTGTAATCCCTAAGTGCTGTGTTAAGTTTTAAGACTTGAAATATTTAATTTCACCTTTTGTAGTGCAAATTTCAACAAGCAAATCAGATTATAAATAACTTGTTTTAAAATTATAAATAATTATTTAGTTTGTAATATAGTAGACAGTGTTGAAAGATACGTGTGGTTTCCTTTTTAAAACACACTGTTGTAACTGGGCATGGTGGTACATGCCTATGATCCCAGCAACTCAAGAGGCCAAGGTAGAAAGATTGCAAAATCAAGGCCAGCCTTATCAACTGAGACTCTGTATCAAAATAAAAAATAAAAAGGGCTGAGAATGTAGCTTAACAGTAAGGCATCCCTAGGCTCAATCCCTAATACCAAAAAGAAGAAAAAGACTGTAATAATCAATGTACAGCAATATATTCACACAAAGTATATTTACTTATAAAAAAAAATACACATCTAAATTTACTTATGCTTATGTAGAAATTTATTCACCTTGAATGTGTTTTACCAAAATAATGTATTCTGAGTAGAAGTATATTCCCTAGATGAAAATTAATGACAAGAACTATATACCAGTATATTACTATTGTTAAAAATTCATGTATCATTTTCATGGTGGAATGTAAGGAATTAGTAAAAGGTTTTTCAAGAATATACAAACTCAAAAAAATTAAACTATCAAAAATTGTCCCTGAAATGTTAAAAAAAAAAAGAACATCTACTCACAGATCCAAATTAGAAAAAGAAACTAAATACATGTTAAACAAGCAATTTTTGAGTGGCATCTTCAATCCAAACGTCTGTGGCCACATGATCTCAATTCCTGGCCATACTGATGCATTTTGAATTCAATGCAGGGAATCTAGTATTTATTGATTTAATAAGGTTAGGAGAATTACATTGTTACTGTTACTGATAAATTGTCAGCAATTTAATCTACTGAAAATTTACAGAGGAATATATATCTGAGGGAAGAGAGAGAGGGACAATAGCCATGCAAATTTAATCCCTTCACTACCCATGACAAGTGACAAGAGCAAAACCTCTTCCTTCCCAGACTGCTTTAGGCTCCTGAGATTTTTTTTACTAAAGATATTGGCCACCAGCTGATTGAGTTTACAGTGAAAGGATTTTAATAGTCTTGCAGGTGCACCTTCAAATTAAGAAAAATAATGTATTACCCCATATTCACCCTTTTGAGACACAGGTGGGTAGGCACATGCATGCATGCATGCATGACCATGACCATGGACATGGACACACACACACACACACACACACACACACACACAATCCCTTTTTAGGCTTATCACCTAAAAGCGTATTAAGGAGCCCTTCAGTGACTCCTGCTCAATGGACCTTAAGGTTTTCCACATCCCTAACATCATTAGAACACAGGAGAACAGAAGGGAGAAAATTTACTTTCTTAAAAGCAATTCTGCCAAAATACAACCAAAGGGGAGAGGTTTTCAATGCTATGTCAAAGTAAGATGGTATAATAGGATCCAGGATCAGAATGGGGCCAAAACAAAACAAAAAACATCAGAGTTACTGAAACAAACATTTGTAGGACTTTAGAAAGTTTTTTGTACTGCTGTGCTGCCCTGCTTGTGGGCTTATTTCCCCAACACGGACACCTGGGAAGCATGTTGTGCTCCAGCTTTTCCCTGACTTTGAAGAAATGGATAATCTAAGGATCGGTGTTGCTGCTGGGGTCAGTAAAAGTATGCTAATTGGTGAACCTAATTGCTTCAAGCAGTCCTGCCTCTAAACAGGGAGAGCACAGTTGATGGAGTCAGTCTGTTCCTAATAAAATGAAGAAGCACTGAATTAAACTCCCAAGGAAGGCACTATAAAAGTTTCCACAGTGTAACCAAATGACTTCACCTAAGCTATTACCTCTAAGATGACATCTTTGAAAGAAAGCAGACCCCAGTAGGGCTCCATATTCATAAATTGGCCAAGGTTAGTCCAGTGAATCTGGATTGATTTAAAAAGCCTTCTTCATCCTTCCAATCAAATGAAGTCATTGTTAATTAGATGCTTTCTGTTAACAATGTCATTCTTCTCCACATTACCTGCTCACACTTGCAGCGACTCTGGTGCAACATCTGGAGCCCCAATTCCCCTGCAATCGGTCCTCACAACAGTTTGGCTGGAAGGTGATGGTATTTCCGTTTCTGAATCCCTGCCTGAAGGAAGATACTATTCAGTGTATTGGTGGCACAGTACATACCAACTCTCTAATTTGAGAGATTATAAAGCAGTCTCTGCAAAAAACTCTGAGATATGGTCTTCCAATATCTTTTTAATGAATCACACAAGAGTTTTTCCTGGGCTGATTCTGCCTTGTATATGGATGTTTTCAAAAACATCGAAGGCCACAAAGTTACTCTCACTGGCTTCCCAGCTTCTTAAAACCAAGTTCTTCCTTAACATAGAAAATCGGGGCTTGGTTCCTACCTCTCCCAGACCAACACTTGAAGAAGACTGACTGCCTCAAACAGGGCAAATTGTCAGGCAGCCCGCGAGAGCGTCAAGGCTCAGCGCCCCAAGCAGCGTCTGCAAAGAAACTGTACTGAAGACTCGAAAAAGCTGCCTCATTCGAGGTTGGATCTCTAAACAGTACAAGGTTGGGCGGGGCCGGCTCACATTCCCTCGGGGCCCATTCCTAAGAGGTTTGCCAGGCTGACTCGAGGGGACGCTACCTGCCAGCTTTGACCTGGGGTCTGGAAAATGTGCGCCACCCCCCGGCCGGGCCTGGCTTTCTTCTTGAATCCCCATGCGCAGGTTCCGGGCTTTGTTCTCGGGGTGGTGGCCTTGGACGCAGGCAAGATTGCGGCCAGTCACTGTCAGGGCGACATCCCAATGTACTGATCCCGTGTCTCGGGCACCTCTGCTGGGGACGCTCGTACTTGCGTCGAAGGACCCGCCACCAACTCTGAGAGCGAGGCACGGTGCCCGGATGTGGGCCTCGCTTCCGGGAGCTGTTCCCGTCGTGGTTGAGATCAGGTTTGAAGTTCAGGAGCCCCTGGGAGAAGGGTGGAAAGGGCTCCCCTACCAGGGAGCGTTGTTTGCAGAATGAAGAATTTGTTCTCTGGTAGCTAGCGCCTTTGTGGTGTGAGGAATGTGAGACAAACCGGAATTAAAGGCCCTTGAATGAGGTGGGGATGCTGCTGGACTTGGGGCAAGTGCGATCCTAGGGATCTACAGAGCCGAGGGCCACCGTGATCAAGGGCTCAGGCAGACCGCTAGAGGCAACTCAGGACCTCCGGCGGCCCAGTCTGGAAAGCCTGGGTTACCTCTTCAGAGGGGACCTGAAGCCAGATCCTGAATTCCATCCAAGGCAGAGAGCTTCTCAAGAGTCACTAGCCAGGGCTAGCATTTAGACCTGGGACCTTGTCCCTGACTCTTAGGCGCCAAAAGATCAATACTATGGCCTGGGAGCCCAGTTCGCCATCCTTCCTGGCTTGGGGCCATGGAGGAATCAGGAGCTAGACAGTGAATGTTGATTTCCTAAAGCTACACAGAGGGCAGAACCGCACTGGTGAGGTTAGACAGTGATGGAATGGACGGAACCACACCAAGACAAGAACACTCTTCTAGTTCAGAATCATAATTGCGTATTTTCAAACTCTTGACCTTGACGTTTTCTCACCCGGAGACACAAACTTCTCATCATGAAGATTTGGGGAAATTAAGTTTCTTGGGATACTTTCATTCCTGTTATGTTGGCTTAGGAGGGAAGATGGTCAATCGCTGCAGTCTAAAACAACTACAGTATCTCAATGCAATAAAACATAGATGATGATTAGAAAGTCATTTTTCCTTCCCCTTCCAAAGAGAGGTAAAACCTGAAGCGTTAAGGTTATCTTTCGCCAAAATGTAAAACCTTCAAGAACATCACCGTCCCTCCCTGAGGGGGGGGAGGGGAGAGAGAGAGAGAGAGAGAGAGAGAGAGAGAGAGAGAGAGACGCGAACGCGAATAGATTTTTGTTCTTTTCATTTTAGTGCTTGCTTAAACCTAAATTCTGGGCTTGAGTAGAGTAAAACACTCCATTCATACTCTAAAGACTCAACTAGAACCGAGCTAAGGGAAACCAAGCAAGAGAAAGGGAAGCTGCTGAAGAAAGAGCAGTGAACAGAGGTGTGAATGGATGCTGCACAAAGGTTGCTATGACCCGATAGCCAGGACCCAGCTCTAGAGCAGGTAATCCCAGGACTCTCCGCCCCAGGGTTCTGGGCAGACCCGGCCTAAATACCACCACGTGCTCAGGACTGCTGTGTTCCAACTCTGCTTGGGGGGGGGCGGTCTTCGCGCGCATGCACATGGATGCGTGCTTCTCTGTGGTGGCGCTGGAACCCCTCAGAGGTTGTCCAGATAGCCTAACTCCTGGAGTTCCTACAAAGCACGGTCACTCACACTGGAAGAGGAGTTGCTTTAGCCCCGGAAAGCTGGCAGGCGAAGGCACCGGGAGTATAGCCGCCAATCTCATGCAGGGAGAAGACTAATAGAGTGGTGGAAACCAGGATGGGGCAGCATCTTTCCTGGTTAGGGGCTCCACCCCGCCAGTCGGCTGGGTCACTTGTCAACCCAAGTTCTCCAGACTCAGTCCCTTCCAGCAGCCTAGCAAAACTCCCTGCCAATCCGACCTGCGCTCCCTGGTGGCTTTCAGGTGTTCATCCTTGAAGGCACTGACGCCTCTTGAAAACAGCACCAGCGCCGCTTTTCCAGCCTCCAGATCCCTGCCTTGCTCCAGTCACGGAGCAATGACTCGCCAGTGTTTGGGGTGGTTGTTGTTCTTTTAAAAGTATATTAAAGGATCATTGGCGTCTCCCCGTCAAGTCATTACGCCTTTATCCCCATCAATTAACCACACCTCAGAGGATTGCTATTAAGAGCTAAATTGAGCTGCAAAAGTAGGTATCCCGTTACAGGCAGATGTTGTTATCTCCCGCTGAGAGGCGCGGCCGCCGGGGCCCAACCATCAACTTCCCGCGTCCGGAGCCGCTCAGGACCTGGCTGACCGCCTGACAATACTGGTGTAGAGGAGCTAGATGGAGTGGAGAGGGTCCTTGCCCCCGCCATACATATCAGTGGGAACTGTTTCCAGAGCTGTGCCAGGAAGAACGCAAAAAAAAAAAAAAAAAAAAGCCGTGCGTTTTTGCGCAGAAAATTGGAAAGTGTCCTTAAGGCCCCAACTCCCGGCAGAAAACCCAGAAGGAGGAATGAGGGGGAGAGGGCAAACTAGCGAGTTTGGCTGGCAGTCCTCCTCCATCCCACCCTACTTCATCTTCCAGCCTCTTTCCCTGGCAGCTGACCCTCAAAACATCAGAATTTCATGTGGATAAAGGCGCGGTGCTGTGGAACTAAAGAATCCGGGATAGAAACGTGACATTTAGGACAAAGGAGGTTCACTTGAGATCTCGGGGCCTTCCGACCAGATGTACCTTTCCACGTTTTCTCACTTCAGTCACTCTTGAGGACTTGAGGCACCACTGTCACACGCAGTTGGGAGACCCTGGAGAGCTGAGGAAAGGGAGTAACGGGACATAGCCCTCACTGCGGTTACAGAGCTTTCCTCCCGATAGTGGCCACAATAAATTTAGCCAAGACTAAAGGAGATTAATTTCCCAGTATAATCCAATTAAAAGATTTCTAAAGTAATCTTTTTGCGGAAAAAAAAATTTAAGTGCGCGGCTAAAGAGAGGACTGGTTTTGATGACAGTGATTTATCGCCTCAGCACAGCACGCACCGGACGCTTGCTCTCCTGCACGCAATTGACCAGAGCATCCGGTCCGCATCTCCAATCCAAACCTTCGCTTTCCTGAAAGACAGCCATCTATCACGAGAACCTGAGCAGGAGAGAATGTGTAAGGGACTGGGATTGCTTACAAGCACCATAGACTTTTTTAAGTGCTATTAGATTTATGGTCTCCTTTTCCGACGCCCATCCAGAGTAATTAGCACATATGTTCTAAATAGATGATAGTTTTGTGAGCAATAAAGCAATTACCCATCGTTGGAGCTGACAGTTCTTCCAACTAAACTCCAACCAGCAGCTAATTGGAAAAGTCATTTCAACTACATTGTCTGCAATTAGTCCTGCTAAACTACTACACCCCAACTAGCTGGTTTGAGGTTAATTTATTCGGTGTTGTATTTGCATGGACAAGTCTTGGCCACGAAGGGACTTGCCTTTTGCCCCTCCGGACTGCGCCCAGGGATTAGAGGAGCAGGTGGGAGTTAACAACTGATATTTTGGAGCCATCCGGGGGCGCCCTACCCCGCCTCAGGTTCAAGTTCAGTGTCCAGCTTACTGAACACCAACAGAGAAAACTATTGTTTCTCCTATTGAGTGGTAAGCAGAGGAAACTGCTCAGTTTATGCTACCAAACCTTTATTAAAAAAAAAAAATCACCATAGAGGAAGCGACTGAATTCTGAACATGCCCTTCACCTGCATACCCCATTATGACCCGGCCACTCCACTATTCCTAAAAGATAAATGTTAATCAGGCCTGCCAAAGCAGAAGTTTTGAGCCCTCCGAGAAAGAGGGAGCCTCCAATGCTCAGAGTAGTTCCAGGAAAGAAAAGATTAGAAAGGTCAGGAAGCCCTATTTCTGCCTTCAGCCGCTCTAAGCATAAATCCACTTCCCCTTGAAACTGGGTTTTCTCCATGACTTTTTTTCCTACCTCCCTTCTTCTTTTTCTTTTCCTTTCTTCCTAAAGTTAAGCCAATAGATCCAGGATTTGTGCACAATGAGTGGAAAAAATGTGTTTAACGTTGGTTTGACGCCCCACCGGAGCTTCCAAATATCCAGCGGCTGGGATTCTTCTACTTAATTTAATCTTTATTGGGCAGGACAGTTCTATGCTCCTATTCATCAGGAAACCTAAGGAAATGTATCAGTTGGGGTTCAGAATTGAGGGCAGAAAAAAGAGGAATTAAAGAGGGATTAATCCTCCCCCACTCAACCTCTAACTTTGGAACTGCGATCTCTAGCAGGTTGGTGACAGGAGAAGGCAAACTCAAGGTCCTAACCCTGACAACCAAGTGTCCCTGGTATATGGATACAGGGGAAGAGGTGCTGGCAGGTTGAGATGAGAACTTGTAGCCCTGCTAACTTAGTATTCCCTGAAAGGAATTTACAGCAAAGTGTCCCATGCTCTGGAAGCAATGTGAATTTG